CGAAGGTACCAGAACAGCTTCCGAAGTCAAATCCTGCCCAGCGAATAAACCAGAAGAGCAAATTACATGTTCCCGCACAGCTGCTCAAGCAACCGCCAAGTGACCTGGGTTTCCCCTTAAAAACAGCCGACAGCAGGACTGCAACTGGAGCAAGACCACGGGAGGGAGAGAAAGGGATGCAGTCCGAGAATTCCACACAAGGCCCAGCCAAGTTCGAACCTGGGATGGAACCAACTGGGACTTCAGCCAGTTCACCAGAAACCTGAACCCGGCAAGCTGGGAAAGAGCCAGATCCCTGGCTAGCTGACAAGCAGACTGACTTGGAGCCCACACCAACCAGTTGTCGAGGTAGGCAAAGATCCGAAGACCTAGCAGATGAAGACGGGCCACCACAAACTGGGAAGTGCTCATGGAGCACCTAGGTATAGTGTCCCTAAACGCATGCAGCTCTGGTACCCAGGAACTTCAGGCCAGCACACACCATAAGTGCAGGAACAGCCATATAAGCCAAATATTCCAGAACAAGAAATTGGGCCCCGAGATGATGTCTGACCGCCATCACCATCAGTCTAGAACTGAAAGGGGGGGGGTAGCCGACTCCACCTCCCCTAGTGGGAGCTAGTTGAATGAAATGTTGCTTGTTTGTTTTATTTATGGGAAGTTCCTTTGTTCATTTGAGGATGTAGGTTGCATTTTTCAACCAGTGGTCTGTTTTGTTTAGCCAAACTTTCTGGGTGCCTTCCCTGGTCAATGGCAATAATGATATACTTTAAAGATAAAGTGTTCATAGGCCAATCCTCCCTGTGCCTCTCTGAGGGGGCCAGGTTCTGGCACCGGTAGGCAACATGAACTCTGTGACTGATGACTGTAAATAGGATAGCACTAAATCAGTGGGATAGCTTCAAGGAGTCAAATGGAGCTCCTCACAGAAATGTAAACATTTCACAAAATATTTTTTAATTATAGAATTATTAATTTGTATGCAAAATATAAGAAAAACACAAAAGTAAGTGAATATTTATTGTTGTACTGGGTGGAGGTGCTCTGAAGGGTTGGGTGGTGGCTGTGTCTGGCGTCTGTCAAAGTATGGTGCCTGACTTTGTTGACACTTCCTGTGTCATCCTCTGATGCCTCACTGATTGATTATCACCGTTTCTCTTTATTAACAAGAGTATGTGTTTTGAATAACTTGATAAATAATATACATAATTCACATAATACATGATTATGTTTCAATTGATGATTGGTTTACTTGGTATGCCTCATTACAACCAAACATTAATGAAAAAGATATGAACATAATATTCAATGGTGTTGCACTCTGAGTAATGACATATGGCCTAATTGGCACCATATGGGAGAAAGTATAGATTGAAACAAAAGGGGTAAGCCACCAATGTACACCCACAGATGACAGCAGGCTTCTAGTACACGTAACACACAATAATGGTGCGAATGATAATTGGTTTACTTTGTATACCTCATTACAACCATATGAACATCATTTGTATACATATGTAATTGTAATGTAATTTTATACAATTACGATGACTGCATTTCTCTAGTAATGTCACCATGAAATGATAGCAGGATTTTTTCATGGGTCAAGGTAAACTCCATTACATCCACAGAGAGCTATTATATACTTATTAGCATCATACATGCAAAACCCAGACAATAATTCTTTAAATCATCATATGATGATACCCTCATTACCCCATGAATCAACACATGACAATAACTGCTGTCTAAGGGTTAAGTCTTGCCAGACTGCAGTCTATCTACCCTTGTGCCCATGATCTTAGGAAGTATGCCCTCTGTCGACAGTGTTTGTGAACATGTCTTGAGCTGATTTTCCAGTGTGAGGGTTTTGGAGCTTGAATAGGGCTCTGGTTGCCTGGTATCTGGTGAATGTTACCGAGTCTCAGTAGCCTCGAGTGGATTTGGGTCATGTGTCCCAGCCAGGGAATTCATTTTTCTTTTGTCTCTTGCAGTGCTTCTTCCTCCCTGATGAGTTCCTGGATGTTTTCTTTCTCTGCAGGTTGTTAGCTTCAGGGAGCCACAAAGGGCTTTCCCCAGAAAATCAGTGCTGAATGTAATGAAATGCCAATTTCAGAATGAGCCCCAATGGGTCTCCTCAACCCCACAATGGATGTAGTGGATGCCTACATCTGTTTTAGAACTGGGAGCTGGATGCCAACTGGCAGTGAGCTACTTCCCCCCCCCCCATTTCCTCTCCATACAGGGAGGTGGGAAGGAAACAGGGGTGGGAAATGAGCTCATGCTAGTTCTGAGAGAATTTGATTGTTTACATACTCGAAGGGGAGGGTTCTTTTGGCGGGTTCCGAGACTTTAAACTGAATCAGAGACTTTCTTGTTGCCTTCCATGGTTAGGTGGTGAAAGTAAATGTTGCCACTCCCTGTGCTTCTGTGAGGGGGGCCAGGTTCTGGCGCTGGTCCACAGTAACTGTTGACTACATGTTGACGGTTCCGGGGATCAATGTCCCCATGGCCGGGTTTCTGATCAGGCCTCATGGTTGCTGATCTGATCCACCAGGCTGTTTGATGCAGCTGCTCACAGCCTGACATACAGTTCACAGCCTGATTGATCAGGTATCCTTCGAAGGTGCTCGTAAAGTTCTCTTTTGAACACTGAGAGGTCGGCCAGTTATGTTCTGTATGTGGGGGGGAAAGACTTTTGAAAAGTCTAGGGCCTTTGATGTTAATTGAGTCCTCTCTCAGCATGTCTATTGCACCTCTTACTCTTCAGTGGGGCTATTTTGCACATCCTGCCATGCCTTATTGTCTTGTGTGGTCTTCTTTGTGTGTACAGGTTTGGAACCAGTCTTCCTAATATTTTCCAAGTGTAGATTATTATGTCTCTCTCCCACCTGCACTCCAAGGAATATGGATTAAAAATTGTTAGGTCCCAATAATTTAGATGTTTTAATGAGTGGATTCTAGTCGTAAAGGATCTTTGCATGCTCTCAGCAATTTCTTCAGCTTTGAATGGGGCTGTTAGTGTGCAACAATATTTCACTCTAGAGCACTAAAGTCATAAAAAGTATCATTAGCATAGCATCTCTTGTTTGGAAGGTTCTTGTTTTCCAACTTGTCACTTTTCTTGCAGCTATGACAGCAAGTTTGTTGTGTTCTTTAAAAGTAGGTTCTGACATTATTATTCTTAAATCTTCTATATTGTTTTTATTTCAATAGTTTGGTTTGTGTTTTATATGTGGTTTCTGCTTTGATGTGTTTGTTTTTTCCATAGCGCAGTAATTGGAACTTATTCTCATTAAAACTCATGTTATTTTTCTGCGGCCAATTAAAAGACTTGATTAACATCAGATTGGAGGTTTGGTGTCTTCTATGTTGTCTATTCTCATGAAAATTCTAGTGTTATCTGCAAAGGATGATATAGTACTGTTTGTATCCTTGTCTATGTCTGATATGAGCATGAGGAAAAGTACAGGAGCAAGTACGGTACCGTGGAGGACTGAGCTTTTCATGGTGGATAATTCAGATTTGAAGGAGGCACATAGTCTCACTTGAATGGAACAATGAGAAAGGAAGTCAGAAACCACTAAGCCTGACTTAGTGGTAAAGGCAGAATGAATGTAGACCTCCAGGTGCCCTAAAATGTTAAACAATATTAGATAGAAAATAATTTTGGGGTGAAATAATTTATTTTATTCACACACGGGGCCTCGTAGCCTGGTGGATAGCGCGCAGGACTCGTAATTCTGTGGCACGGGTTCGATTCCTGCACGAGGCAGAAACAAATGGGCAAAGTTTCTTTCACCCTGAATGCCCCTGTTACCTAGCAGTAAATAGGTACCTGGGAGTTAGTCAGCTGTCACGGGCTGCTTCCTGGGGGTGGAGGCCTGGTCGAGGACCGGGCCGCGGGGACACTAAAGCCCCGAAATCATCTCAAGATAACCTCAAGATAACGGTACTTGTCATATTAAACCAATGTGCAGTACAGTGATTAAAGCTTTTTCACATAATTTTTAGGTTGTTTGTGGCCTATTTTCCCCTATTCCACATTCCATAATGTGGCATTTATTTCCATTAATTTCCATTTGGCAAGTGTTGCTCCATACACATATGTGAATGGTCTGACCTCTCCTTATTCAAGTATTTTCACTGGCTATTCTTCGGTTATATTATTATTTGCGAGCTGAAACCATGTTGAAAAGCAAGAGTTGTGTAGGCTCATCAGGCAAAGATCAGAGGAGTTTCCCAGCCATTGATAATAAGGTCAAGTTATTAGAAAACTTTATTATAGCTGGAGAAGAAAGTTGCTGATAGAAGAGTGTGGTGTTGGTACTAGTACTGTTTATGACATTCAAAAAGCAACAGAGAATATCATATAATTTGTGAATAAGATAAAGAACAGTGATAGAAGAAGTGCCATAAAAACAATGAAACCTAAGTATGAAGAATGTGATGCTGCTGTTTACTAATATTTGTTATTTGAGATATTTGAGATATATACAAGAGTTGTTACATTCTTGTACAGCCACTAGTACGCGAAGCGTTTCAGGCAAGTCCTTAATCCTATGGTCCCTGGAATAAGATTCCCTGCCGCAAAGAATCGTTTTTTCATCCAAGTACACATTTTACTGTTGCGTTAAACAGAGGCTACAGTTAAGGAATTGCGCCCAGTAAATCCTCCCCGGCCAGGATACGAACCCATGACATAGCGCTCGCGGAACGCCAGGCGAGTGTCTTACCACTACACCACAGAGACTGTAATGACTTACTGAGCTGTAGCCTGGGGTGAACAGCTCATCTTAAGCTGAGAGACTGGCATTAACCATGGGCACAGGATAGTTCAAGAACTCTTCAGGGTGACTGCACCAGTTTAACAGTCAGCATGACAGTGCTATGGGTGCATTTTGCTGCCTCTCTGTTATCAAGACCAGCCTATGATACAAATAAATATTTATTTTTTATTTTTAGCAAGATTATAAATTGCAGGTTCTCAAAACCAATACTGTATTCATATTATATTTCTATATTTCCGTATGCATAACTATTTATTGTACCAGTTCCTTAAAAAAAAATCCATAACATTTTGTGATTTAATTTTTTTTTGTTTTTATCAAATTCAGAACAATATAATCCAGATTTTGGAGGTGTGGCTGTATATGTATGTGTGTGATGCCAACAGCAGTGTTGTATGATAACCCTCACAAAGAACCTTCAACCAAAATAATACACACAACAAAAAAAGTTTGGGATGACAAACAGTACAACGTTTGTGCACTTAAAATTACCATTTACCTCTCCTGTATTATACAGTCACGCTCTGGTAAGCATCAGTAGCACATTATGAACAAATAATCATACAATATCACTTACAATTAGATACAGTTAGTGCTACATATTTTAGAACTGCCCAATAGGCCACACATTCAGTAAACTGAACACATATTTGATGAAACTTAATTTTGGAAGGAGATTCTGTAAGTGTAATAATCAGCTGCATATTTAATGGAGACTAAACAGTATGTTAACAAAATATGTTGTTATTGGCATACCCCAAGCATGCTGAATATATCACAGTTTGTTATGTGCAGTGTAACAGGAAGAACACATGATGCTGTGCTCTCACTTGGAAAAGATGCTGAAGCAGCACAGCATGGAGATGCACATGATGCTGTGCTTACATGAGGAAAATATGCTAAAACAGCATAGTGGACATGACACATGATACTGTGTGCTCACAGGGGGAAAAAATGCTATAGCAGCATAGCAGGGAGACAGTTATGATGCTGTATGCTCACATAGCTAAAAGATGCTAGAGCAGCAGAGCAGAGAGAGTGCATATTGTGTGCTCACACATGGAAAAGAATGCTCAAGCAACATTGCAGGGAAGACACATGATGCTGTGTGTTCACATGGAATAAAGGATGCTAGAGCAATTTAACAAAATAAAACACACAATGCTGCATGTACACAATATGGAAAGAATGCTACAACAGTGTAGAAGGGAGATAACACAATGCTGTATGCTGACACAAGAAAAGGATACTAGAGAAATTTAGCAGGGAGAAACATTACATTATGATGTAAGCTCACACAAGGGTAAAGATGCTAGACCAGCATTTTGAGGATGTTATAACTATTGTATGCTGAATGTAGGATGAAACACATATGATAAAAAAATAATATATATATATATATTAAATGAAATAACGTAGTGGTGCTGAGAAATATTGAAAACCTGGCACGTAACATATACCAAGAGACAATTATAGTGCAAGTTATAAAACAATGTTAGTAAAACATATTGCCTGATGACTATCTCTGAACATACAGTAGCATATCTTGTTATCTTGACAGATAACAAGATGTTATCTTGTTATCCACATCATATTATGATGTGGCCCAGTCAACATATTCTATTTTATTCATATTAAATATCCTTCAGTGCAGTATGCTCCTGATGTATGTGCAGTATAGTCACAACAGCATATACAGGACTTTAAACTGTACCTGTACATTCATTTATATCTACAATATATAAATATTTGTATCTGTAAAAGAATTCTTTAGATAAATACAATCACTGAATATTCTGGTTGCACAGTACTTCAACCATAACTAATTTATCTGACTTTCAATCATATATATTTACACAAAATATGCCTCTTGTAATACCCAAGCAAAATATAAAGTATCAATCACGAAACTTTTTTTATAAGTCATTTCATTAGTGAACCATCTTGTGAGCTACTCTAACAACCATATCAGGAGTAAACCATCAACAAGCAGTACCTTCATCGTCATCGTCATCATTGGAAGTATTTGGAGGGTTGCTTCTTGCCACTGAAGCCTGATTGTGAGAGAGAAAAGCCACATTTGCTGGCTTCAACAGAGGACCAGGATGAACCTGTGCTCCTCCGCTGGTAGATGGACTCGCCAAGTAACTAGTGCTGGGCTGAGGTAGGTGAGGATTTATTCCATGGTGAAGGTGGCTTGCATTCGGGTATGGGCGTTGATGAGGTGGTAGCACATTGGCAGGTGTAAGAGGGGAAGGGGAGAGGCAGGGGGTAGTGCAGTATGAATTGCTGAGGTCACACACATCTAGAAGACGCAGCAGTTCTGCTGGCTCAGGACCTCCATTGACAATTGCTCCTGGAAGAAAATGAAAGAGTTTAATTGTCAATAATATAAATTTCAATTGCTTGAAATTTATGATACAGTCACATATCAATCATCTTTAGTCAGTACAGTACAGTACCACACAGTATATCTATTAGAAAACATAAATGACAATTTTTGCATTTATATTAAGATACAAAAACACATTACAGAACTTACAACAACCTTATAGATACAGTACTGTATTTATAAATGATTGAAACCTTGCCCAAGACTAATCTTGAACATGAAGATATTCTTTGCTCACAGGACAATTTGTACAACACACTTAGGCGAATATAGGGCGACTATGTACTGACATCAGCCCTAATGTCAATATACCTAACATCCGTATTTAGTTCAGCACGTGTGTTTACCAGCAGCAAACACATAGAAGGAGGCAATGTTACAGGCAATACAGCAAAATACTTTTAAAAATTCAACTTTCTGTTCAAGAGATTAGATTCTAAAATAAATTACTCCTTACCCATCATAAAATCAGCATTGAATGTAATGAAATGCCAATTTCTGGGAAAGCCTCGGTGGCTCCTTGTAATTAAACATCTCTGATGTGTGTTTTGCCTCACAGGTGTCATCAGATGCAGAGTTCTCTGGCTTATCGAGGACCACAAGACTGAACCTGGCCTCCCTAACAGGCACCAGGAACCACCAGGAACATGAACCTGGCAAGCCGGAAAAGAACCAGATCCCTGGCTAGCAGACATGCGAACTGCCTGGGAGACCAAAATCTGAACACTCAAAAGCCAAAGACGAGTCACCACGACCCAAATGATATGCATATCATATACGGAGATAGTGTGAAGCCAAAAGGAAAAACCCAGAAAGCAAAATGCTCATCACCTCTAGACATCCTTGTGCACAGGAATCTTAGCAGATACAGAAAAAGGTAAACATAGTACCACTCTATAAAAATGGTAGTCGAGAAGAACCTCTAAAATATAGACCCATCTCATTAACATGCTGTGGTAGTCAAAACACTAGAAAAATAGTTTTTTTTTATATATACACACAAGTTCTTACATTCTTGTAAAGCCACTAGCACGCATAGCATTTTGAGCAGTTCTTTAATCCTAATTTTACCCGGAATACAATCTGCTAAATCATTTAACAACCAGGTACCCATTCACTGCTGGGTGAACAGAGGCTACAGTTAAGGATTGGCACCCGAACAATCCTCCCCAGCCAGGATACGAACCCAGGCCAAAGTGATTGCGAAGCGCAGGGCAAGTGTCTTACCACTGCACCAAAAGGGGACTGCTATGGGTTAAGGCCGAATGGGTTGAACACCTAGCGAATAATTACATAATAATGGACAGACAGAATGGTTTTCGAACAGGAATATCCTGTGTAACAAATCTACTTAGTTTCATGACAGCCACAGAGATACTACAGGAAAGAGGTGGTTGGGTTGAATGTGTATCTGGACCTAAAAAACAAGCATTGAATGTAATGAAACGCCATTTTCTGGGTGAGCTCCGGAGGCTCCCTGGAGCTTATCAGACTAATGTATGTTATATTAGACAGGGACATTAGTTATGGAATTCAGACCTACCAGGGACCAGCGCCAGAACCTGGCCCCTTCGGAGAGCTTTCAGGGAGCAATGTCCCTGGAAAACCCCCTCTCTGAAGGGGCCAAGTTCTGGCGCAGGTCCCTGGTAGGTCTGAACTCCATAGCTAATGTCCCGGTCTAATATAACATACATTAGCCCGATAAACTCCAGGGAGCCGTAGGGGCTCCCCACAGAAAAGGCTTTTGACAGATTCCCACACAAGAGGTTGTTCTGGGAACTGGAACATGTTGGAGAGGTGACAGGGAGATTCCTGGCATGGACGAAAAAAACCAGCGTTGAATGTAATGAAATGCTATTTTCTGGGTGAGACCCGGAGGCTCCCCGGAGCTATACCCGGCTGATGTGCTAATGTCAGACTTTGGCATCAGTCATGTGTATGGAGTTCTAGGGCCTACCGGGGACCACGGCCAGAACCTGGCCCCCCCTCAGAGAGGCAAGGGGAGCAATGGCCTATAGAAGCCCCCGTGTGGTTGGAAGCATTCTATGTCTGCCATCAACCGGGTCAAGCATCCAGAAAGGTAAGCATTCCAAAACAAACCCCTATTCTGGTTAAAAATTGCTACCAAAAGCCAAACTGGTGGATAGAACTCCCCAACAGAAAACAAGCAAACTAGTATGACGTCACACGTCACCGCTCCATTGTCTGCGCAGCTCCCCCCTCCCTGGGAGGGGGAAGGGGAAGCCACAGACCTCTCATGCCGGCTATCCACCCATCAGTTCTGAGGCTGGATGTCAAAACACGCGAAAAACCCCTGACCAGAGGGAGGGAGAGTTGCCAGGGAGCCTCCGGGTCTTACCCAGAAAATGGCGTTTCATTACATTCAATGCTGGTTTTCTGGGGGGAACCCCGTCGGCTTCCAAGAGCTAACTACCCACAGAGGAAGGTCAAAGGGACAGAATTGGGAGGCGGTCACCACGCACCCCTCAAGGGAAGCGAGACAACCATCTGCAAACGCCAACCCAAGGCAACACAGCCCCGAAAGGGCCCGGGAACAACACGAGACAACAAGAAGCTAGGCCCCTGTATGAACGCCAAAAGATCCGTGCCCGAATGGCAGCAAGGACATGCCGCCAAGACGACAGCAAGAGCAGCGAAGCTACGAATGCCACGGGCATGGGAAAGAACACAGGCCGGCTAGCCGCAATAACACGGTGGACAACCTGGGACACCTTCACCCGCGAACAGGGAAGAGCGGAACCGGTGCAACTCAAAGTGCACCTCGGACATAGAGGCCGTGGCATGCAAATAACAGCGGAGGGCCATCACTGAACACAAAACACGACACACCCCCGGCCCGACCAACCAAGCACCAACAAACCAAGGACCCCTCCGGAACACAGCAGCCCCATCCCGTGCCAGAAAAGATGGAGACGGCTGCCACCGAACAACTAAAACACCAATACCAAAGGAGCAGAAACCCCTGCGGAGGAGAGCAAGAATCCCAGCGACCCAATCCCTAGAGGCAAATGCCAACAGGAAAAAGAGCCGTCGAGAAACAAACCTGAACCGAAGGGGCACCACCAACCGAGGAGAAGACAGAGCACGCTGACCAGAGACCAGGATGGTGCAAGCAGTGCACGAACAGGCTGGAGGTGAAACAACGCACGAGACAGCTTACTAACGGTGCAGAAGCAACACCAAAACCGAAAGCAAGCCAAAGTGGCTCCGTCAGCGCTGCACAAAACGAGGCGACAGTATGTGGCAAGACGACAGCCCCCAACCCCCACCAGAAAAACCAAGCCGACGCTAACAACCGCAGTCACCTACGAAGGGACAGGAGGAAAAAGAAGGCCCCCCAAAATACTCCATACTGCCGCCAAGAAGAAGCACGCAGGTGGGACACCAACAACGAAGCCACCAGACTACCAACCGGAGGCGAGACACGCAAGGCAGAACGTAATCAGCCCCGACGAGATTCATCCGAGCCCAGGAAGAGGTGGAGCAGCAGGAAGATCTCGGGTGTGACCAGCAAATAAGGAGATGGAACGTCTGCCGAACAGAAAGCTCCCCAATGCGAGCAAGCCCGCCAGGAGATCAGAAACGATGGGTCCGACAAGAGACATCGCAAGACCCTGTAAAACCAACGGGCAGGGCAAGCCAGGAAAACCAAAGAAAGTGTAAGGGTTGCCACCAAACCAGTACCTGAACCAAGGGGTACGAGCAACGAAAACAGACCAAGAACAATAAGCACACCATATGACACAGGCTGAAGGAACGCCCAAGAAGCCAAGGAACGCACGAAGGAAACTCCTGCGGCAGAGGAGGAAATAAAGGGAACGCACAAGGAAGGGAAGCGGCAGAAACTGACCCCCCATACAGCAGCAAGTGCAGGCAAAACCGAGCAAAGGAGATGCCAGGGAAGCGACAGGGGAGACGCAGGACGAAAGAGCCAAAGCTCAAACCCCAGGAAACACAACCAGGGGTGGACAATCAGGCATGGACAGAACCCCACGCACATGGAAGGACCAAGCCAGGGACCCGAAGACCACGAAAAACAACAAGCAAACCCCAACACACAACCCCAGGCACAAAACAGCAACAAAGTGTCACACCACAACATCCTGATACAGGAACAAGGACACGCCAACACGGAACACATTACCAATGCACACGTGCAGTAGCAACATGCACCACACGCAACATGTATGTAGCAACTTGTCTATGTCTATGTGTATATATATATATATATATGTATATATATAAATATATATATATATATGTATATATATATATATATATATATATATATATATATATATATATATATATATATATATATATATATATATATATATATATATATATATATATATATATATATATATATATATATATATATATATATATATATATATATATATATATATATATATATATATATATATATATATATATATATATATAATATATATATATGTATATATATGTATATATATATATATATATATATATATATATATATATATATATATATATATATATATATATATATATATGTATATATATATATATATATATATATATATATATATATATATATATATATATATATATATATATATATATATATATATATATATATATATATATATATATATATATATATATATATATATATATATATATATATATATATATATATATATATATATATATATATATATATATATATATATATATATACATATATATATATATATATATATATATATATATATATATATATATATATATATATATATATATATATATATATATATATATATATATATATATATATATATATATATATATATATATATATATATATATATATATATATATATATATATATATATATATATATATACAGTATATATATATAAATAAAATATGCGCCCTTTAAGGGTTAACATAGTCAATCACTGTCACTTACAAGAAATTACTTTTGCTCAACTCACCTGAATCACCCTTGTTACTTAGCTCAAGGGCAGTAGTAAGATCCCACATCTGAATAGCCCCATTGGAGTGACCAGTAAATATGTATCTCCTTGGTCTGGATCCCATTCTACTACTTCCTTCACACTCATGTACACAGAAGCCACTTATTGTAGTGGAATCCACAGCTTTGATGACACACACTCTGAAAAATTGAAATAGATCAGTGACAACAATGAAATGTAGCAGGATATGGCAACACGAGATAGTTCTGAAGAACTGAATTTTTACCATATGACACTGGAATGCCAAGAAATATTCTAAACTACTGAGGCATCTACAACCCAACTACTTTCATTGCCATCATGTGGCAGCCCTACAGACACAAGGTTTGGAGAAGGTGGCTGCTGTGGCAAGATTCCCCTCTGTAACACAACCATGGAGGGACTTTAGTCCCGATCCTAGAGGAACCGAACTTACCACGGAAACCTTCCTGGGCGAAGTGGAGTAGAGTGAAAAGCTGACAATGACCTCCCTGTCTAGAAATTGTACCTCTCCTCCTCTTGGATCACAAGCATACCATGCCTACAGTCCACCAACAAGCATATCATGGACAAAGGACGAGATGGACCACAAATAAGAGGGGCCTCATAACAATCACGAAAGAATATTGTAAGAGCGAATAAAGATAGATCACGAATGTCTGGCACATCAGAGAAGAACTGACCGGTTTGTGGCCTGGGAGCCACGGGCTGCCCACCCCTGTTCCTTAAATGAGGGACAGAGTTGGGTTAACGAGCATGAACTGGATCAAATTTTTTTCGGTTGTTTATTTATCTACTTTGGGAAATTTCTATGACTGTTTTCATATCTGCATATATAGGAAGTAGCCAGTTTTGTCCTGCTGACTTTCTGGGTGCCTTCCCTGGTGATGGCATATAAAGAAGGTAAGTGCCACTGCTCCCTGTGCCTCTGTGAGGAGACCAGGTTCTGGCTCTGGGTCTTCAGTATGCCAGAGAACTCCACAACTGAGGACAACTTTTAGACATTACACACATCAGAGCTGTTAGCTACTGGGAGCCAAAAGGGGCTCCCTGCAAAAAAAAAAAAAAAAAAACCAGCGTTGAATGTAATGAAATCCCATTTTCTGGGTGAGCCGAGGAGGCTCCCTGGAGCTATAGGACTGATATGCACTATATTAGTATAGGGCTTCAGTCAATGGAGTTCTGCCTGCTGGAGACCATGATCCAGAACCTGGCTCTCTCAGAGAGGCACAGGGAGCAATGGCCTAAGGAAACCCTCTTGTATTTGAAGGTAATTCTCTATCTGCCATCGACCGGGGTTAGGCACCCAGAAAGGTAGGAATCTCAAAACAAACCCCACATGGTAGGAATTTAAAAAAACACCCAGACCGAACAGAGAAACAGAGCTCCCCAAAAGAAACTAGGAAAATAAGTAAGCAAGTAAACATTGACCACTACCACAGCGCTGGTTGTCTCCACAGCTCTCCCAATGATCCCCCTGGGAGGAGGAGGAGGGGGAGCCCCCAAACCCCTGCCCTGGCTGCCCAGCTCCTCAGTTCGAAGGCTGAGCATCAAAACAAAACTGCCAACCATAGGGAGGGAAGGTGCCAAGGAGCCTCCGGGGCTCACCTAGAAAATGGCGTTTCATTACATTCAACGCTGGTTTTCTGTGGGAAGCCCCTTCTGCTCTCTGGAGCTAAATAACCAATGATAAGTAAAAGAGGAACTTACCAGTGAGGCGGCCACACTGCATGGATCAACTCAAAGACAAGACAACTGGCTGCAACCTACTCCTCAAGAGAGAAGTAGATACAACCAGCCACGTACTGAACTGGTCCGATCTGCTAAACGATGCGGAGCTGAGGAAAACGTCCCGGGTTTGGACACCAAGCAAGCAGCACCTGAAACCAAGGCTGGGCCGGCCACCATGGGGCTACAAGAACGACTCTTCCACGATACAACTCCAACCGAGCCAGAACCCGAAGCAATAGCTGGACTGGGGGAAAGAGGTACAGGTAACCCCACCTCGACCAGTCCTGCTGAAGTATATCCACCGCGATGGCTCTGCAATCCGGGAAGGACGCCACATATATAGGGAGATGCCGGGACCACGCCGACACAAAAAGGTCCATCTCCAGGGTCCTGTACGTCTGGCAGAGCCAACTAAAGGAGTCAGTGTCGACCACCCATTACATGGACAGGGAAATGAATTGTGACAGGCCGTTCGCCCGGAAGGTGGACACTCCCTAGATGTGAATCGCATGGAGAGCTAAATCCTGAGAAACAAGCAGACGAGTCACTCGAAGTGACCAGCCCCAAAGAGCAAAGGACTGAAGAGTACCACGCGGTTCAGACAATGAATCACCGGAGTGCAGTCCAAATGGAGCCGGATCGTAGAACTCCGATCGACCCGAACCCTCCACAGCAAAAGACAAACCGCTGCAAACTCTCACAGTGAGCTATGAGCCCAAGGCAAGGACAGACCCTACCACCCCTGGCCAGCCTGGTGAGCACTGGTCACAAAGTCCAAGCTGAAAGACAAAGTATCCGTGAACACATCCAGCAAGGGCTCAGGAAGGTGCCAAGGCACAGAATCTCGAAAAACCCGAAGAGGAAGACGGCGGTGCAACAACAGATGCAAGGACCCCCTGGGGGGTGAACCCAGTGGTCGCAAGAGGCGGAAGAGATGGCCCTGAAGGAACCAGAACAGGCAATTAAGTCGTACCCTACCCAGCGGTCAAATCAGCAGGGTGAAGTTCAGACACCCCCCTCAAAAGCTCGAGCAACCGACAAGTTATGCGGGACCCCTCCAGAAACAGCTGAGGCGGGACTGCTGTCTCAGCAACGCCACAGGAGAGAGAGACATGGAAGTGGTCCGAGAGTCTGACACAAGGCCCAGCCAGCTCCGAACCTGGGACGCAACCAGATGGGACTTCCTCCAGTTCACCAGGAACCTGAACCCGGTGAGCTGGGAAAGAACCAAACCCCTGGCAAGCAGACTGGCTGGAAGCCCACACCAGCCAGTTGTCGTGGTAGGCCAGAACCCAAACCCCTAGCAGACACAGACGGGCCACCACGACCCAGGTAAGATGAGTGAAAACGTGAGGTGCCAGATTCAAGCCAAACGGAAGGCAACAAAAGTGGTTAGCATGCCGCCCCACGAAGAAACATAGCCAGTCCTTGAAACCTTGATGAATTGGAACATGCCAATACTCATCCCAGAGGTCCATACACACCATCTAAGAGCCTGGCTCCAAGAGGAGTCGGACCTGGGACAAAGTGTTCATTTGAAAGGAGGGGTACAAAATCCAATGGTTCAGACAGAACAATTCCAGAATGAAACGAAGATCCACACAGTCCCGTTTCGGTACTGAAAATGGGCGGAAAACCCATCTGAAGGACGTAGTCGGTTCAACCATGCCCAAGCGCACCCATTCCAGGATGACCCGACGGAGTGAAGGAAAAGAAGCCTGTACCACCAGCCCTGAACCCCCCAAAGGAGGAGCCGCCCAACACCCCCACCTGCTGGAGGACATGACACAAAATGCCCACGAATCATGGGTTCAAGTGTGGGCAAACAGAACGAGCCTTTGCCCCCCAATGGCATGTCAATGGGGAGAACCGTGAAAGGGCCGACGCCCCTTACTAGAAGCCGGCCTACAAGCAGAGCGAGCATTGCGCTGACCAAAAGACGCCGGTTCAGAAGGAGGTGCCAGCTCAGAAACTAGTACCAAGGGTCCACTTCGACTAGAAGAATCTGGAGCCTTGGCACGACTCTTCCGAGAGGCCCAAGAACAGCAACTGGGATGACCAACAAATCCCACAGAGGATGGCAACTAGACGAGGCCGCCTGTAGAAACTGAGTCACAGCATTCTCAGCAGCGGACAAAAGGGTGAAGAAAACCGAAGAGCCAGTCTGACAAAGCCCAAGCCACACTTCTCGAGAAAAAAAGAGGGCAGTCTACCAGCCAGGAAGATCCTGGAATCTCAACGCATCCAATACGGGAAAGAAGAACCATACTCAAATGAGGACAGATCCAGCATAGAAGCATACTCCGGGTCTTGAAGGAGGTAAGCTGCAAGAGCCTCTCGAACCTCCTTGGTCGGGATGTGAGAGACAGAAAATCTCTGGAGAGGAGGAGCCGTGGAACCCAAGGGAACCCAGAACCGAACCCAGGGAGGAGCCGACCCAAATCAAACTCATACAGGGAAGGGGGTAAAAAAAAAACACCTCACCTGTAACAAGAAACCCTGCAACAAAGGCACCAAAACCCAAGCAGGATCAAAAGGGATTCAAGACCCCCAGAGTGGCTCCTCCCCCAGCTCGGAAGCCTCCATGTCAGGCTCTGGGGCAGAGCTGTCCTCCATGCCCTCCACCCCTGAAAAAAAGGAGTTTCCTGGGAAACCGCAGCAAAGAAGGGAATCAGCTGGTCGAATCCAGAAGCCCTGGTACGAAGAGCAGGCTCGAATGCCTCCATCTGTCTCGAATGGGGCAGCCCCTGAAGCCGCTCGAGTCTCATCACCAATTAAACCCTGCCCCGACTCCGAAACCCTGAGAAATTTGGGAGCCGGCATCAGGGAGGAAAGAACATGGTGAACCATGCCCAACGGGGAAGGACTTGAAGACGCAGACGGAGCCAAGGTCAAAGTGACCAACGCCCCCCCAGGTCCAGGTTCTGTCACAAGAATCTCTCTAGAAAAAGAGATTGAGTCTATTCCTTCATCACCTGTTCAACCAAAACACGTCTGCATGTTCAAGAATAAAGAATTAACAACAACACGTTCTCAGAAGCCATGTCTAGACGAGCCTCTACCACCCTACCTACCCCAGTACCCATGACCCCGATGCACCTGGCGTCTGGGAGTCACCCCACTCGCTGGTTAATAAGCACATTGCTCGTTTATACCTGCCGGCTTCCAATTATCGGCACACCAGCACCACCTACACAGCCAAACCCATGTATATTAGGAGCCCACCAGCCACTAGCCCTTCAGAATACTCTCCAGTGCTCAACCTACCTACATCTGCTCTCACACTACCCTGTGTGGTGGTAGATTTACGCAGTATTGTACATAGTATTTCAGCACCATTTATTTTGATCTTTAACGTAACGTTAACTTGTTTGTTTGCTTTTCATTTTTGCACCGTGTTCACAGCCAAGACTTAGAGGATCTATTTTATTTGTTGTAAATTGTTAATATTTTTTTGTCATAGTAAAGTATTTACATTTTTATTCTTGGAATTTTATCCTACAGCTACCACACCGTGAAGAGATCTACTTAGCAGTTTTATTTACTTTGTTTTTACTTTTTTTTTGTTTAATGTGAGTGGCATTCCATCTGCCCTAATATGCATCCATGGGTCTGCCAAGCCTCAACAGGGCTTTTCAGAGCCCATAGGGGTTTAGCCTACAAGAAGCCCAGGCAATGGTGTTGCAATGCCGGTTGAGCCGGAATGATAATGTCAACAGAAGGGAATAGGGCTATAACTAGACCCCACAAGAAAAAAAGAAAAGGAAAAACACCGCAAAAGCACAACCACAACAGGAGGAACAGGGAACACGACCGCTGATAGAGATGTGTGCTGCGCAGCACATCTTGCCTCAAACCAAACCAGCAACAACAACGCTTCCTATCCAAGGCCAAATAAAGGCCACAAAACCCCAGCTAGTCCCAAGGGTGGGATAAATGTCGAGCAGCAGGAACCCCTACAGAAGTGAAGCCTGAAATCTCTAGGGAAGGGAACCCTAGAACCCAAGTGTAGTACTCACAGGGTGCTTAGGGTTGGCAGCCCTAAGTGCATACAGCCCCAGTACACAAAGTTTACTCTTGGCCACTGTACCACAAACAGTAGGAAACACCACAAGGGCACAAAATCCAGCAGGAATCTGAGGCCAGAGTTAACAACTGCCCTAGAGCACTTCAGCCTACGAACTGAGAAGCTGGGCAGCCGGCACAGGGGTCTGGGGCACCCCCTCCCGGGACGGGGGGAAAAGAGTTGCACGGTAGTGGTGGTTAACAGTTGCTTGTTTGCATATTTTCCTTGTTTCTTTCGGGGAGTTCTGTTTCTCTGTTCGGAATTATTTTTTTTTTTTGTAATTTCCTACCATGTGGGGTTTGTTTTGAGATGCCTAACCCTGCTATTGCTTGAGATGCAATGGCAGACAGGGAATACCCCCAAATACAAGGGGTTTCCTTAGGTCATTCCTCCCTGCCCCAGACTAATATAGTTCATATCAGTCCTATAGCTCCAGGGAGTTGAAGGGGCTCCCCACAGAAAGTAATTGTTATTTGTCTTCTTAGTCTAAATATGTAGTAATTTAAAGTTTAATTTGAAATCTTATAATTAATATCAAGCTCATTCCTTACAAGTCATATTTTTGTTAAATCTTACCTCTTGCCATTACTAGCAAGACGAACAAACAGTTGGTCTGTCTCAGGAACCACCTTCTGAATGAACACCTGCTCATCATCCTGTTCTCCATATGGTCCTGAAATATTATGATATGGTATGATTAGAAACATTCTATTTAACACTTCAGGAAATAATTTGAGTTCAATTACATTTCAGCAATTTAAAAAACAACATATTTCTACTATTATTTTGTTGACCATGAACTGCAATTGTTAACTTGTGGAGAAAGAATCACAGTTTCATACTCATTCCAATACCAAAAAACTAGCATTGAATGTAATGAAATGCCATTTTCTGGGTGAGCTCTCGGAGGCTCCCTGAAACTATCCAAATTGACATGTAACATATTAGTTTGGTTTCATCAGTCCTAGGAGTTCCAGTGCTTACTGGGGACCACGAACCAGAACCTGGTCCCCTCAGAGAGGTGCAGGGAGCAATGGCCATATGAGCACTTTGCATTAGAGTATTGTCATGTCTGCCATCGACTGAGGAATACCCCCAGAAAGGTAGGCGAAACAATACAAACACCCCAACTGGTTAAAATTGCAACCTATGTCTGAACAGAGCCAAAGCCTCCCCACACCCCAAAATAAAAACCAACGTTGAATGTAATGAAACGCCATTTTCTGGGTGAGCCCTGAAGGCTTCCTGGAGCTATCCAGACTGATATTGCTAATGTCAGACTTTGGCATCAGTCATGTGTATGGAGTTCTTTAGGCCTACGGGGACCACGAGCCAGAATCTGGCCCCACTCAGAGAGGCACGAGAAGCAATGGAATATAGAAACCCCCCATGTGGTTGGAAGCATTCTATGTCTGCCATTGACCAGGTCAGGCACCCAGAAAGGTAAAAATCCCAAAATAAGCCCCTATTCTGGTTAAGAAATTGCTACTGAGAGCCGAACTAGTGGACAGAACTCCCAAAATAAAAACGAGCTAACGAGCATGACGTCACCACGTCGCTGTCTGCGCAGCTCCCCCCTTTCGCCGAGAGGCGGAAGGGGGAACCCCAGACCCCTCGTATTGGCTACCCAAGACCCCAGTTCTAAGGCTGGATATCAAAACATGCAAAAAACCGCTGACCGGAGGGAGGGAGGGTTGCTGGGGAACCTCTGGATCTCACCCAGAAAATGGCGTTTCATTACACTCAACGCTAATTTTCAGGGAGGAGCCCTGTCGGCTCTCCAGAGCTACCTACTAAAAGACGAAAACAAGAGGGACCTAACCTGGGAGGCGGTCTTCGCTCACTCCCCAACGCGAAGCCACACAGGCCTGACAAGGCCCAAGAACATCAACGAAGGGACACGTAGCCAACCTACGAATGTCGTGGGCACAGGGAAAGATTGCAGGCTGGCTGGACCAAACCACCTCACAGACGATCCGAGAGAACTGCACCCTGGAACAGGGAAGAAGCAACCCTAAGTGTGAGCCCAGACACGGCAGCCGAGGCACACAAAGAACGGCGAAGCGCCGCAACCGAACAACACATGATGCACCCCCGGTCCGACCAACCAAACATCAACAAGACAAGGACCCCTCCAGAACACAGCCGTGTCGGTCTTAGCAAGAAAAAAGAGACGGCTGCAAGCGAACAAACCTATCACAAGGACCAAAAGAGCAGAACCCTGGTGCCGAAGGAGAGCAAGAAGCACCCCGACCCGACCCCCAGAGGCCAATGCCAACAAGAAAAGAGCCTCGAAAAACAATCCAGAACTGAGGGGGCCACAACAAACCGAGGAGAAGAGAAGAGAGCACCCAATCCAAGAACCAGGACGGCTCAAGCGGCACAAGAGCAGACCAGAGGTGAACCACGCCAGAGACAGCTCATGAATTGGTGCAGAGGGAACACCAAAACCGAAGCAACCCGGAGCGGCTCCACCAGTGCCGCACGAGACAAGGCGACAGTATGTGGCAAGATGACCGCCCAGAACCTCCACAAGAGAAGGACAAGACCACGCCAGCAAAATGCGGCAAACCTATGAAGTGATAAAAAGAAAAAGAAAGGACCGCCAAAAAACTCCACAACGCCGCCGAGACGAAGCACGTAGGTGGGACACCCTAAACAAAGCCACCTGAACACCAACAAATGGCGAAAGACTCGTGGCAGAACCGAACCAGGTCCGCCATGGACCGACGGAGCATGGTAAGACACGAAGCTGCGGGAAAACCTCGGGTGCGAACACCGAGCAACCAGAGCCAGAAAACCAAGCTGGTAAGGAACCAGATGGAACGTCTGCCATACAGAAAACTTCCGAATGCTAGCAATCTCATCAGGTGATCAGAAACACCGTGGTTCTGACGAGAGACTATTGAGAAGTGACACCACCAGGTCAGGAATGCGCTAACTGGGAGGGTAAGCCAGGAAACCAGAAACCCAAACGCGGCAAGCCGGGAAAGAACCAACCCGGGTGAACAAACATGCCCAGTGTGGGAGGAATCCCCCGGGACCCCAGAAATACCAATAAGTCCGACAGCGGATGACAACTAGAAGCCACCAGCAAAAAAAAACACTGAACCGCAGATGCCGCAAACAGCAAGGACAAAATTGCGACCAAAAATGAAAAGCCAAGGCCTAAGCCGAGGCCAACGAGGAAGCAAGCACAGTGAGCCGAAATGCAAAGCGAAAAACAGGGATGCCACATCCCGCAGGAACGACGAACACAGCGGGGCTGCGCATGGCATAACGAAGCATGCGATGTCGAGTAAGGTACTATAACCATTCGATTATCTGGGATTCGAACATCCGGAAACACCCTTACACGGGCAAAATTGTGACCGGATAAAGTTATCTCAATATCCGGTCAAAATGGCCATGGGAGCCGGATAAAAGCTGGTTTAGCAGGATAAAAAATCGGAGCCGGTTAACTTGCTGCTGATGTTACACTATCCGGACAGTCAGCCGGATATTCATTGAATTGTCCGGATATGAAAGCCAAGGGGCGGGCCGTACCATATTAATCCCATCTGGCTGTGGCTGGCTGGCTCGTGGCACATGGTGGAGGAGGGGTGGGGTGGGTGGGTGGTGTTGGGAGGGTGGGAGGGGAGCATTGGGAGGGACCACCTGGGTACAGGAATTACCATTAATTTTAGAACAATTCATCTTAGCCAAAAACAAAAGAAATACTAGTAATTATGTAATAACAAATATATGTTTCCTAAAAACAATGTGCACAGGCTGAAGTTTCCTTCAAAAATATTGTGAGTTTTTTCCTCCTGGCGGCCTATGTAATGTGCTATAGCTGCCCTAAGTGGACCCGTACAACACTGGTCAACCCATGTGCTCCCGTCCCTCGTGTTATACCACAGTGTCGCGCCATTAGTGAAATAATTTTTTAAATAAGTTTGTTATTTTCATAGTAACTTTGAACATTTTTGGCTAAGACTATCTCTGGTAGCAGCATCAATCATTTTGGAGGTGTTAAGAGGAGGAAGGTTGTCTTAACAATTAAAGACAAGTTACGTGTTATACACCTCAACAAGTGAGGTGCATGCAAGCACCTTCAACAAGTGAGGCATCACAGGCAAGCCAAGTGCCTTCAACAAGTGAAGCGCAAGCAATCGTTTTCAACAAGTGAGGCGTCACAGGCAAGCCAAGTGCCTTCAACAAGTGAGGCGTAAGCAAGCACCTTCAACAAGTGAGGCATCACAGGCAAGCCAAGTGCCTTCAACAAGTGAAGCGCAAGCAATCGTTTTCAACAAGTGAGGCGCCACAAGCAACCCAAATGCCTTCAACCAGTGAGGCTTCAGCAGCTGGCAGTCAAAACTAACTTTGCTTAATGAACTGTACAGTAATTTTAAGTGTTAATTTTAGTGTTGTGTTAGTATAGGTTACGTAAATTGTTAAGAATTCTTAACTTCAAGATGTGTGGCATCAATCAAGAAGACGAACACCAACAAGGTAAGTTGAGGTTTCTAGTTGAATATTTAATAATTATATGTGGCAAGGCAATTCAAATTATGTTGTTTGTAGTATAAAAATAGTTGGAAATAGTCACTTTTGGACTCAGAGGTTGTTGTTGTTAAAGATTTGCTACTTGGAACAAACAGTTCCAAGTAGCATGGGCTATGGTGAGCCCGTAGGACTCAGAGGTGAAAATGTACCATTATCCGGAACACGTGAATATCCGGCTGGGGGTCCTTCCCATATAGTCCGGATAATCGAGTGGAGACAGTATGAGGAGAACTAACCAGGATGTGAACAGCACGAAAACAAAAAGGCATCTCCCAAAAGTGCTGTTCGACTTCGGGTTGACCGAAGATCGTCCTCGGACGACCTCGTTTCTCGGATGACCACGAGTTGTCCGAGAAAGAGTTGGGTGTAAAAGTGCACTGCACCGCCAAAGAAACTGCAGGGGCGGGAGAGGAGGCACAGAAGCTACATCCACCAACATACAGGGCAACCCAGAAGCTGGAAGTGCCAAACAAGGACAAGATGAAAACTCAGGACCATAACCAAACTCAGGACCATAACTGCCTCTGTGTTTGGTCTGCCAAACACAAACTACCCACAAAGGAAGGTCAAAGGGACAGAACCAGGAGGCGGACACCACGCACCCCCCATGGAAGCGAGACAACCGGCAGCAAACGCCAACCCAAGGCGCCACAGCCCCGAAAAGACCCGGGAACAACACGAGAATAACGAGCAGCAAGGCCCCCGCACGAACACCAAAAATCCATGCCCAAAAGACCGCAAACCCACGTCGCCCAGACGGCAGCGAGAGCAGCGAAGCCACGAATGCCACAGGCATGAGGGAAGAACACAGGCAGCTTAGCCGCAAGAACACGGCTGACCACCCAGGACACCATCACCCGCGAACCGGGAAGAACAGAACCGGATCAACGCAAAACGCACTCCGGATCCAAACGCCGTGGCACGCAAACAGCGGAGGGCCGCCACGGAACACAAAACACGACACCCCCACCGGCCCAACCAACGAAGCACCAACAAACCCTGGACCCCTCCAGAACGCAGCAGCCCCACCCTGCGCCAGAAAAGATGGAGACTGCTCCCACCGCTAAAACCGAAGGAGCAAGAAAGCTCAGCGACTCGACCCCCAGAGGCAAAGGCCAAAAGGAA